TTGGGGACTTTAATTGCAAAATTCAAAAGTTTAATGGCCCAGATTAAATAATTTTCCAAAATTTAGGGGCTGAATTATTAAACCCATAACCTTAAGGTCCAACTTGGATGGATAACAAAGCTTAGGGACTGAATTTAAAATTTTAATTTTAAAACCCTAATTAGAAATTGCAAACAAGGACCTGAGATTACAAAAATTGCACCTCAGGCCCCCGCCCCAAAAATCAAAACACCCGGCTGTAAGGCATCTCTCTCTCTCTCTTATACGGCGCCGGGCGCTGCTACAACCGACAGCAGCGCCCCAGCTGCTGCATTTTGCAGCAGCGTGCCGCTGCTGCAAAATGCAGCAGCCAGCGCCGGCGGCGACACCGCCGCCGGCCAGATCCAGTAAAATTTTTTTTTTTTTTTTTTAAAACCAAAACCAGAAAAATGGAATTTCAAAACTTTATATTCCAAAACCTTTTACTGGATCTAGATCTATAACCATAAATAATATGCTTGATCCAATTCTCAAATTCAACAATAATGAATCCAAATAGTTAGATTTGAAAATCTTAAAAAAAAAAAAATTGCAGAAATTTAAATTTCACATAATATCATGGAAGATCCATAACAATAACAAAAAAAAATACTAAATTACTTCAATTTCTCAAAGATTTCAACAATGGATGGCTCTGATACCACTTGTTGCATAAATTTGAAAGGAACCATATTCATAAAATCCTTTCATAAAATCATAAATTCCATGTTGAAATCAAAGAGACAACAAAAAGTGCGGAAACATACCTTGATCCATGAATCTTACTGCTTTAATTGGGTTTTGATCTTCCAATTGATACGTGATTCTCCTTCCTTTTGGTTTTCTTCAAAGTCTCTGTTGATGGGGATGCAGAGATATTTTCCAAAGAAAATCACGTTCAAATTGGGGACCATAACCACTTTTAAAAATAACTGCTATTGGCAGTTATTAACTTTAAGTTATTTCAAATCGGCCCCTCATCAATTCAAAATAACACCTTCTGGTCTCTACACTTTAATCCCATAAAATTTAATACCCATTAGTCCAAAATTAAATCCAATGGATCACTTTATCGACTATATTTACTTTAAAATAGCACCACACATTCTAATAAATGTACATGTGTGGCCCCTAAGTTGGAATTTTTTTCCAACAATTTTCCCTTTGAATATTTATAAAAAGGAAAATTTTATAAGTAAGAGATTAATTATGAAACATTTTAAAAATAAGAAAATAAGGTTTGAATTTCAAAAATCAGATTTTTATTAAAAATTATTTATCATTTAATTAATTATTTATTTTAGTAATTAAATATATTGAAGTCACAGATTTATAGAATTTGATCACAAATTAACGATTTAATTGGTCACTTATTATTTTTTGGTCACAAATCCGAAATTTTATGTCACAATTTATTTTACGATCAAAATTCAAAAAAAGTATAGATTACAGTTTGTTCATCGATCACAAATCGAAAAATTTATAAGTCACGATTTATTTATTGATCACAAATCACAAATATTATAAGTCACAATTTATTATACAATCACAAATTATCGGCCATAAATTAACCATTTTTTTGGTCACACATTATTTTTTTGTCACAATTTATCTTTTTCCATTGGTCACATATTATTTATTGGTCATAGATTAACCAATTTAATGGTCACAGTCAATTAAATAATTTGTGACCACCACCAACACTTACAATTCACATTCACAATTTTCAGGTCACGCATTCAATTCTGAGTCACAGTCACAATTTTTAGATCACGTATCCAATTATGAGTTACAAATCAACAAACTGCCACGACTATTGCCATGACAACCACAACCACGACCAACTGTAACTCTCAAATTGATAATCACAATTTTCAGGTCACGAGTCCAATTATTTGTCATAAAATCAACCAAACCACCACGACCACCACAATCATCTTTGCACCACTGCCTTATCACCAGAGTTTGCAGCAATCGCTGTGCCACCAATATCACCAACATCTAATCGGACTACCAACGACACCACCACCTCGCCATCGCAACAAAATCACCGCCACCAACAAGATCCAAAAAATCATTGCCACAGTCGCACAAAAACCTCATCAAATTAGATCCACAACAAACCAGCTCTCCCCACCGCAAGCACTACCACTTCAATATCGTCAAAAACCAAATCCTGCACCACATCACCACCACAACGACTTGCAGTACTGACAGAACTCCTTCGACACACTTCCATCAGCAGTCGTCGATTGATGTTGTCGTCGTGCAAAAAAAAAAGTAAGGGAATCGCATCCATTGTCGGAGGTGTTGGGACTGAGTTCACCGATAAATAATTACTGGAACAAGGGCGTAAGATTTGGCGGCGCAAACACCACATCGCAGTTGATTTCTTCGAGTTGCTGCCACCACCAAAATCTCCACGACCACCATCTGCCACAATTCTCAGTACTGATCAACCGTGATCTTCCGATGACTGCTTGTTCGACGACGGCGAGATTTTGGAAAGAGAAAGGGGGGGATTGAGAGAGAGAAAGTGAATTGAGATTGGGCAGCGAAAGAGAGGAGATAATTAGGTTTGAAATTGTTTATTTAATTAATTTTTAAATATATTAATTAATTAAAAAAATTTAGATTTCTGAAATATAAAACATGACATCTTATTTTTGAAATGATGATTTTTAATCTATTAAAATCTGTAATTTCCACTTTATCAAACTATATTGCGCCCATGGATTTATTTTATTGGACCAATATTATTCTTTTGTTCCGCCAACAGTTTGTCATCTTAAATGGACCTATATTTTATTGGCATTAATCATTTGGTGTTTGATCTTCACAATGGGCTATTATTTCTTCTTCTTGCCCCCATTAAGTTATTTCTTCAGTTCTTTGACGATGAGCACAAGGCAAGGCAGTAGCTCCAATGTGATTTTCCGTGTCACTGAATTGTGTTTGCTGCGTATATTTAAGCTACAACCTGGACATGTTTTCACCATTTGTTTGGGGAGAATTTATCAACCAAAGGGCTGGTTTTTTGCTGGTCCATAATTTGCACTGTTGGGTATTTAGTTATTATCCTAATTAACTGGCCAAAATTTTCCAATTTCCTATGACCTTTTTTGTACGTGGTGCAACACGATTAATGTACCGAACGACGTTAATCTGTTAACCTCCAAAAATAGCTATAACTGATACCCCAGCCCGTCCCCTCCAAACTTGCATATGTAGCACCCTATCAAGAGGCAAAATCGGCCGGATGAGAAAAAGGTCTGGGGACCGTTGGCACTTCGACGGTCAAGTCAACGGTCGACGAAAATAAATATATAGAGTGCAATAGTATGGAGATGTGGGGATTTGGTTAGAGTGTTGAGACCTACCTTAATTGTGCAAATGAGTCCATATATATAGAGAAATGGGTCAAACGGGTTAGTGGGCCTAAATCTTAGCCCAATAAGGAGGTGATTATATAAGTATAATAATAGGCACCTCGACTGGACTTCTTAGGACCTCGATGGCGCTTCGACTGGCCTATTTAGAGCCTCGACTTTGGGGCCCAACTCTAATGGGCCTCGCCCGGATCCAATAAGATGGCCCAATATGGGATGATAATTTATAGGCGTAACAAAAGAAATATCCAATCCTCGATGCTTATCTTCATGAGGATGGAAGATATGGTGGCGTCAACAATGAAAAATGAGAAGATGATAGAGTGGTTCACACTATTTATTTGAGAACCTCCAATGCTAAAACCCCTCGCACCACATTTTAGATGCAGTAAGTATTTTATTTGGAATTTGTGCTTGAATTAGTTCCACATTTTTGTAGCAATTTGGAACCACATAGAAATAGATGTTAAGTTGTTTTATTGCTTGACAGCATTAGCATTTGGAAACTATTTTGATGAATTTCTTTCTTCAAAGCGATTGCCTTATGTCAGTTATGCGCATTTTGGTCCATATAATTTGTCAACCCTAAAGCTTAAGGAAAGCCCCTTATCCCCTGAGGATTGCACCAAAAGCTGATTTTTCCTTCACCAATTTTCCAAGCTATTTGTTCTTCTACAAAGTCCATTATTTTTGAGCATTTGCTTCCATGTGACCAAATCTTGAGCCCCTATTGTTTGCCCACAAAGAAGTTTTTTCGAGTCTCTCCTATAGTTTGCAAGAGAATGTGTTTCTTTCATTTCTCTAAGCCCCAAGCCACCCTACTCTAGCATACACATTCTGTTCCATTTAGTCCAGTGGATTATTCGCAGTCGAGGTATCCCCTAAAGAAAGCTATTAGAGCCTTCTCAATTTATGCAACAAAAGATCCATCGACTCACTTGAACTCTAGAAATAAATTAAATAAGATGTTTTTATTTGTACTTAATATTTTTTATTTTCTGACAACATTTTCTTTAAGAGAAATGGTCTATCAATATTTCAAAAATGGTTATAAATCATGCCTACATATTGATTATTAATTGTATTAAGGTTGAATAAATATGTCACATCCTCAATTAAACCTTAAACCAAGGGGGAGACAGGAACATCTCAAGGATATTAATGGATTACGACGTTCCAAATATTAAGATCAAATATTGGACCAGACATGTTGTTATCTTCACACCATTGGCTAAAATTTGCAAAAGCTGATGAAAAGCAAAAGCTGATTCCATTATGATGCAAAGACAGACACATAGACAAGACAACCCACCAAGTCAAACAAAGTGCTGAGGTTTTGTTAATGTTTTAGTAACTAAAATAAATCACTACCTCAATGTTTCCACAACCTTGCTACCTGTACAATTTCCTTTACAGATTCTTTGACAGATATTTGTACCTTAGTCTTTGATTTGAATTTTATTTATTCAAATCAATGGCTAAATGTATATCAACTCAACATCTGTTAAAGAATTTGTCAAGATATTTATGTACAATTAGCTTGATTCATGTCCATACTTGTCTTTGAAATTTGAGTAAAGAAAGAATGATGGGGTAGATCAACATTGAATGTAAAATTCAATTAAATTTTATTACATGAATCGGAAATAGTAACTAAAAATGCCTACCCGTGATGAAATTGCTAAGGATTTGTTTGTTTGTTATGCTAATATGATCAAAGTATTCATTCTTTCTCCTCCTCCTCCTCCTCCTCGTTCATGCTTATTTGCTGCACAAGTCTCTTCTGAAGTAGTGCTTAATTTAGATAATCAACATAGGGAGATTGAGATAGAGTTGGGCTGATCATAATTATAGGAACTAAAAATGGATAGTCAATGGAAATTTGGATTAAGGAGAAATCTTGATTAATCATGATCATCAGGAGGTGGCAACGCAGTAAGGCTCCCAAATCAACGTGGACCTCCTTGGCTTCTTGCATCCCCTTGATAATGGCATAAGATATTCGTCATTCACGTTACCTTTGATGAGCACCATATTTTGCTGATCATATGTCTTTGCACCATTGGCTAGGCATGCATTGTTCTTGAGCGGTGAGGTTTTGCTCCGCCAGAAGTACTGGTAAGAGTTGAGGGAGGTGGCGGCAGTGGTGGCTGGCGGTGGTGGAGATGGAATCGGACGAGGCACCCGGCCAGGTCGTGGTGGGAGTGAGTGTGGAATTGGAAGGTCCTCAATCTCCTTCATGTTGACGATTTTGTTAGACCATTTTGGGTTCTTGTTGCCTAGCCTCATAAGTTTCTTCATCGTCCCACCTATTGGCAATGGTCTTGAGTTATGATCCATAACAAATTCCACCCCCTTGGCTACATTATTTTGCTTAACTCTCTCCTTCACCGCCGCCTCCTCCTCCTCATAACCACCGTCGTTTATTTTCTCATCAACATGTTGATCAATCTCTTCCATATCATCGGAAACTTTATTGAATTCTTGAACCTTATTTTCCCTTACCGTTTCACTGCGTGACTCTTGTGAAATAGGACTATTGATCAAAGTTAAGACTAGGCGGCCGTCAAAGCGTTGAACAGAGAAATTATTTCTTGGTGGGACAGAAACAGCTTCAAGAACAAGCCTACCATTTCTGCGGTGAGATTGTAATCGGATGGAAGTTCCATCAGCAATTGAAGGAATTGGTGGCGGCAAAGGCCGAGGTGGCGAATTCTTGTACTTGACAACATGAAAATCTTCAAACGAGTTCGATTCCTTCACTTGTTGCTGGAATATTTGTTCTTGTTCATGTTCATGATCTTTATGTTCATCTGCATCACTGAGTTCTGAAGCCGGGTATGAAGAAAAACAATCAGAACCAGTTTCTGATCCAAGACTTTCAGTGCAAATCTCTAAACTCTTCTCACTCAAAGAACTGGCTGATCTCCTCGCAAGAGGGTGAATATAAGGTGCTGAAATCTTGGCGGAATCTTCACTCTTTTTCTGTAAAATTGAACCCCAAACATCGAATGCCGAGGATTTTCCAACACCACGATCATCCTTCTCTTTCCTGCATTCTTCTTCACCGTCTGATGAAGAATCATTAGATGATTGATTAACAAGCTCCTGATCAGAGGGTGACGAAATCTCTTTGAATGGGGAGAAAAACCCATTTTGTGCAAGCCATTTCTTAGAAGACATATCAGCAGATAGTGTTCTTCTTAAAGACGAAGCTTTGCTTTTTTCACAATCTGAACAAAGGATAGTTACTATCCCTTGTTTCTCCATTACTGGGGCGGCCTCCTTCCGATGATCTGCTTTTAAAATGGAAGAAGAAAACTCTCGGCTCTTGCTCACCGCAACCATATTCTTTCCACTGCACGAAGTTAATTGAATAATCAGAACCGAACATAACAAAACGGAACAAAATCCCGAGTTACAAAGCAACAATATTTTTAAAAAAATTGCATAATTAGGCCATGCATGATCGTAAATATGTATGATTTACCTGAAGCAAACAACAGCATCCAAAAAGAGAAGAAGCTAGTGGATGACAGTTGCAAGCTAAGGGAGAAGAGAGGATGATGGATGGGTGTTAATGGAATTTCTTTGGCTTAATGCAAATACTAAAGGATGAGAGTGTCGGGTATTTGTAGGAGCTCGAAAAGCCTGTGGAACCTTGTTGATGGGCCCTACACGGGATTTTAGGTCACACACATAATTCTTTTTTTTTTTTTTTACAAGGTGTCCTATTCTAGACTAATCCTTGAGTCTGTGATCCGGCCCCTCTTCACACAGTCCGGTTAATCGCAGGATGTGCCTCCAACTGGCCAGGGTCCGAGCGCTCCCCACCTGGTCTGACAAAGTGCCAAGCAAGCCAATCCAAGTTGCACCTTGCCTTCCAAGAATAATCCTTGCCTTCCAAGTTCCCACTTGCCTTTCAAGAATAAATCCTTGCCTTCCAAATGTTCCCTTGCCTTCCAAGAATAAAATCCTTGCCTTCCAAGAGCCCCATGTTTCGAACTCACGACCTCTGCTCTACCAGGTTTGACAGCGTCCGTCCTTTGCCAGTGGAGAAGTGCCCTGGGGGGCCACACACATAATTCTAATAGTACAGACTGTAGGTACCATGCTAAAAAATTTCTCGTCCTTCCAGGGTAAATTTATTCAAAATTTAAATTAAGATTTGTGTACTCATGTTTGTCGCGTTCAATCGAATCTAATTAAGGAGAAAGACGCGTGCTAGAATTTATCAAGGTCATGTTTGATTATATATTCGGTTAAACTCACTGAACATGCAATAAAATATGAAAAAAAAAGTAACATTATCAATCGGACTGTTAATAATATTGTTCAAAATTTTGTTTGAGTTAAAATTGAACTTTACTACCTGTAAAGATAATAGTTTGACAGCCATATGTGTTGATTATCTGTATAAGTAGAATAAATTCGTTCAAATTTTGGAGTCAAAATCTGTTTAATGTCCAGGTAGTTTGACAACTATCTGTATAGATTATCTATACAAGTATATAATTCATTCAAATTTTGGAGGCAAAGTGTGTTAAACGTGCAAAAGTGTCAACAATTTATATTATTTGTACAATCATATCTGACAATAATAATTGATAATGTTAGTGTTGTCAAAAATTGAGCCACTGATTTAAAAAATGGTTTTCAAAATGAATACATGTGATGTTGTCAAGTATAAGTTGTCAATCAAAATTGTTAAACTAAATTGTATACGTAACATGGTTTAAGCATCAAAATGTGTTGGGCTTCACTGCACACCGAGTCACAAGTCGTATCATGGATTGACCAACCCTAGAGTTAGTTGTGATAGGCTAGCACAACTAAGTCGAGCTAATGGATAGTGTCAATAGATCATGCCAGGTTTGAAATAATTTTCAGGTGTTCTCAATTAACACTTTTAGTGCTTGTTTGGATGGGTTTAAGTGATTATAAGCCGTGAGTCATGTGAAATGTTTGGATAATAAAAATGTAGTAAACTATGAGTTTTATAAAATATGTTGATAAAACATATGTTTGATCAACGGCTAAAATTAAAGTCCTTATTAGAGCCGATGATGAATTAGTTTTTATTCAAATCCAAAGTTGTAAAGTCTCCACTAGGGTTGACGCTTTAGCTTATGTTTTATCGACGATAGCTAAGTTTAATGCCCTTATTAGAGCCAACGATGAAGTACTCTTTATTCAAATTCAAACTTGTAAAATCTCCATTAGGGTTGACGCTTTAGCTCCGATAACCATATGGAATAAGGTTAGTGTGAACACATCATTTCTCACAGAGAGTGAGATTCATAAGGTGGCCAACTGTTAACATCTTTGTCATTGCCTTAGGAGACATTGGTGATTGAGCAAAAGATCTGCGGCCCAATTACGTACAATGAAATTTTTTGTTTCTCAAAATCTAATGTCATTAGTCTTTTGCAATATTCTTTATGTTATTAATAACAAGTAGTACATGTATTTACAAATAAATTTAAAACTTTTTGTTTTTCTATTTGTTTAAAATTATCTGTTATTTTGACTTTGTCCCATTGGTATAATTTTAAAAAGTTCAATGTTTAAAGTTTGAAGAGATTTATTTTCCTTTGGAACCTAATTGTTTCCTAAAAATAATTATAAAGTTTATTGGAAAATAAAAAATTGAATAATGAATCTGTCTTCATTCCTAAAAGAGAGAGGAAATGACAAAAAAATTAAAATTAAAAAATTAAGAACTTTAATGTAATTTAAATGGTTATTTCTTTAACTTGAAAAGACTTTTAGGCCCTGTATGAGCCCTATTATTTCTCCATTAAAATGAAAAATATGATCATTATCCATCACATCAAGTCACCATATTTGACTTTTTATTTCTTGTGTGGATCCCGTAACGACTATATTTTTCTTTTCATTTTTACAATAATGTGGCTCAAACGGGGCTTAATTTGTTACGTATTTTGATTTATAAGACTTTACATATTTACTACCTCTATTTTATCTTAAAATTATTTTTTTTTAATTTTTTAGATAAGCCCTTCAAAGTGATACCCATATAAAAATTTTGAACTTGTTACTTCAACTAACTAAAAATTCAACTTGGCTATACGCGAAGACCCTGTTAAAAGTTAAACAAAATACAAGTAAATAAATTTAAATTAATAAATTATTTTTAATAATTTAAATATATAGGATGCCGCCAATCAACTGAATAAATACCTATTTCATGATAAGTTAACGGAGTATTATTATTGTACCACCAAAAAATAGGAAATTTCTGATATTTTCACCTTTATGGTATAAAGGGGAAGCTGAAAGTGAGAGCACACAGCAAAGAATATAAGGTTAAAATCACTAGAATATTGTTGCCAAGCAATTTACAGTTAGGTAAAGCTGAAGAAGGATGATGATTGGATGAAAATGGCTTAAGAAGGAAGCAATGGAATCACATTCAAAGGCCATTATCATCATCATCATTGGTTGGCTAAAAAATAGTATTAACATTTATCATATAAAAAAATAAAAAAAAACATCCATTTATGTGTTATTCGTGCTTGTATAGAGATATTTAGCCTATGTTAGACCTTCATTTTTTCAAAAATTCATTTTCTAGTACACATTCTTCATAAAATAATTATACAGGTAAATTTCAAAAATAAAAAATAAAAAAAATTCTCATTTTTTAACCATACGTTCTCCAAAAAATCAATATTTTAAAACGTATTTTCTCCTCAAAAATGGGGTTCAAACAAGGGTTAGTCTAAGCAGATTGATGTATTAGGTCGGGATTGGGTTGGAGGAGTTATGTGCGTGTGCGTGAGAATAAACACTGATATTCTCGATCGACTAATAACAAGATATGCTAACATTTGTATGCTAACATTTTGGGTGGCCTCTCGGGGTATAACTCAGTTGTGCAAAGAACAGGAGTGAGGTAGTCTCAATCTTGCTGGCAGTCGCAGTGTGAGGGTTCGATTCCTAAGATATTGAATTGGACTCTTTGTGGGTATTAGTGTACGGGCAAACTCTTGATCCCTGGTCAGTTGGGACACATCCCGTGTTTTACCTTCCTCACGATACTCCAAAAATGGGGTAGTGGGAGCCTCAAGGTTGGGGTTCAACCATTTTTTAGTGTTAGATATTGGGTGTAAATTCCATTTACTAATGATGTGGAGTTTTGAAGGGAGCAAAATTTACGAGTTTGACAATGATGCAAGACCTTTGATGCCTATTGTCTGCCTTTAAAGCGATATCAAATCCTATACCTTTATCTACTGCCTTCCCATTTAGGATTTTTTTTATGGAAAATTCTATTCGTACATAATTTTTGCACATAATGGTGTTTATAATATAATGTGGCAATCATCCGGTTGTTGATGTGCAAGAGTGAAATTTTTATTAAAGGTTGAATCCGGTGTCACGTGTAATTATGAACACCATTATGTAAACAATTATGTACATGTAACACTTTTAAATGTTTTTCTTTTAATGACTTTAATGGCTTATTGAAAAAATATATTCTTGAGATCCTCAAATCGCTACTTGTGGGATTCAGATTTTCAAGCCAGTCTCGAATTTTAAGTCGAACCCCTTAATGTTGTCCCTATTGCTTGTTAGCATTTATTTGCCTAATTGTGACATCCTATTAGCCACCTGATGTTTGCCATCTTTTCACCTAGTCGTATCTTGCCATTGTGAATTGGGATTTTTGGAGAAGATTTTAGTTCTTCAATTTTTTTCCTTTTTCTCGGCTATTGATGTAGTGTTTAAAAAAAAGAAAAAATATCTGTTTTTCTAGAGATCTAACAGGGAAGCAAGAAAGGTGACATTACTCCAGTTATATCTCAAAGGAAAAGATAAATTCGAGAAAAAAGCCTTTTTTCGAATTATATTAAACATTTAATTTAATATAATAAAAAGGGTCATGTAAATGTTAAATTATAAGTTAGCCCCCTTCTCATTTGATTAGTGAAAAGGGGCTTTTGAAAAATTTGCTCGATTAATTAGTTGTGACTCTAAATGAAAAAATCACGTGACATTTTGCGTGTTTTGACATTTATAACTTTTACGAAAAAAATCTCCTCGCAGCCTAAAAAAAAATAAAAAAAAAGAAAGAAAAAGGGAAAAATCTATCTAACCATACATGTTCAATACATTAGATTTAATTAATGCTCAATTTTAACAAAAATATCTGATATTCTAACAAAGTCAAGCACCAAAACTTAATCAATTCATTGCTGGTAAAGTTTGGACAACATTAAGCTTAAATTTAATTTTAAAAAATTGCTTATGAAGTCAACTGCTCACTATTATGATATGAGTTCTTTGCTTGATGTCAACTCCAACATCAATGGGTAAGAGAGTGCTGGAAATTAAATTAATTTCTAGTTGACCAATAAATAATTTTAAATTGGTTTAAAAATAATAACAACACTCACTCTTCCTCTAAATTGATTTCTTTAGTAAAGTAATCTTATTAAATTAATTAAACAAAAATGTTATAGAATATATTCCAAGTGGACAGATTGATTTTGAGTTGACTCGAGTATGTTTATCATAATGAAAGGAATCAATCTGCCATAATGATAGTTAGTTATATTAATATAGAGATA